AAATGAGAACAGCAGCAAAGATTAGGGAACCAGTAGAAACATGGGAGCAGATACGAGAAACAATTTAAGAACGGGTCGCTGGTCCTTCAACTGAGCTGCTGGTCGAAGAAGCACCCGTCAAAGAACCATCGCCAACCAAAGCAGAACAACTGAAGGCACACACCCGTGAAATTCATCGAAGCGTCGCGATGTACTCCACCTTTTACGCCAACTCAGACACAAAGCAAGCAAAGAAACCTGGCATTAGCGGCTATGTCCTCCCGGAAACTCAAGACTGCACGACAGAATACGAGCAGGTGTGCTTTACAAAGACGCCCTGCTCCTACTAGGTAGACGAGAGCTACGTCGCCCAAGACGCAACTGTTTCATTTGTCCATAAGCCGACCTATGCTCCGTTTGAGAGAGTATACAGTGACATACTGTGTATTCCTCGCGAAGTCGGGTGCTCGGTTTTAACTTCGTCATCACCTTCATCGATGCCGCAACGCGCTACACATGGCATCTCAACTTACCGTCCTAGGATATTCTCTTCGAAGCGTTCGTGGCATGGCTTCCGGTAGCAGAGAGGGGATGCGACTCTGAGCTAAAAAGCATTTAGTCAAACAAGGCGATGGAGTATCAGTCACAGCACTTCAAGGACTACCTGGCGGAAAGAGGAATCAAGAGACTCATGTCTTTACCCTACGTCCATCCTGAGCAAGGGGTAGCCGAACGGATGAACAGGGCGCTGCAGAACATGATGCGCAAGCTGCTGGGAGGCATGCAACTGGACGACTTACAGTGGCCAGAGGCGATGGACCATATTGTGATGCTGCATAATCTGCTGTTGTCTAGCTCCCTGCAGAACAATGCATCGCCGCACCTGCTGTGGACATGAAAGTTGGGCAACACAAAAACTTTACGACTTCTCGGCTGTATGCTACAGTATCAACCACATACTGCACGCGCTGGAAGATTCTCATAGTGGGCAAGATGGGGACTAGACCTCGGCATCAAGAAAATTTATCGCGCCTAGAAAGTCTTCAATATGGAAGACAAAGAGAAAGTGGCAGAACATGACGCGATCTTCTACGAAAAACCTCACCATGCATTTCTACATCGCCAACGACCATGATATTGGAAGAGCTAAGGAAGGGTTTTAGGCTAGGTAGGAGAGAAAATGTCGAGAGAAAAGAGGGTTGACTAGGAGAGAGAGAAAGGTACAAGAAGTGGGTTGTACCCTCTACAATATGATTCAGTCATTTGTTGAACACCTACCAAACCTACACAACTACGTATAAATAATATATAAGTTGATACACCCCCTAGGCTTGGTAGGCGTTAGCACACTACACCCGCAACACCCCCAAGCCCTTGCACCCCCATGTCCTGCAGCAGATGTGGTTTCTACCCCTTGTGCGAGGCGGCATCGTCGGCTGCGGGTGGCAGCAACGGCGGCGGCGGGGCCAGCGGCACCTGCAGCACCGGCGGCGGCTTCGACGGCGGCGAAGCCTGCAGCACCCGGCGGCGTGGCACGACCCGGCGACGACCGGGAACGGAGCCATCAGCTGCAGCTGGGATGAGGGGAGACGCAGGGGAGGGGGCACGTCTTCAGCGAAGCGCCCTGGCTGACGTGCTGGTTGGCGTGCGGGCATGCTGGCTGGCGCTAAGCCAGCGCACTGGCTGCAGGCGTCCGTGCGCCGGCTCGTCGAAGCCACTACGGCAGCACGACATCGCCACAGCAGCAAGACGACGCCGCCTGATCGAGGCCGCCACGGCAGCACATCGAGGCCACCATTGCAGCCCGACAAGGCCGCCACGGCAGCGCGAAAGTGAGAGGAGGGGGGAGAGTACGCGGCGGAAGCGTGAGGAGAAGGCTCAGCGGGATCAGCCTACTCTGAAACCATGTTCGAAGAGCTAAGGAAGGGGTTTAGGCTAGGTAGGAGAGAAAATGTCGACAGAAAAAAAGGGTTGACTAGGAGAGAGAGAGAGAGAGGTACAAGAAGTGGGTTGTACCTGTTAGAATAAGCTAGCTAGGGGGGAAAAGCCATGGAATGGCGTGAGGTTTAGGAAGGAGAAATGTCGAGAGGAGAGAGAGTTAGGACTAGAAGAGGAGATACAAGAAGGGGGTTTGTCTCCTCTACAGTAGGATGTAGTAAGTAGCACAACTACCAAGCCTACAATTATATAATTTCATAGTACCCTCTACAGTAGGATTCAGTCATTTGTAGAACACCTACCAAACCTACACATCTATATATAAATAATATGCACAGGACCCCTCTGGTGGACTCAGCGGCGCACGCGCATTCACTTCGTCAGCACAGGAAGCTAACTGGGACGAGCATAATATTCCAGATGCCTCGGCAACAGCCGGACCCTTACCATACTGCTCTGTTGAAAGTGCGTGCGCGGAGGCATGCAGACAACACGCCGTCTGACTCTGGCAAATGAGCTTGTTCGAGGCCACCAATAGAAGTCAGGGTGTGCAACATCAGATGTTTGTGGTCCTGGTACTGAACTAGGCGATTCATTGCCATTACGAACGATTTTCATATCAAACACATTTGTGTGTGATGTTGTAGGCCATATAGGGTTGTGCCTTAGAGAGTATAGCCCCCTAGGTTATAATGCCTTATACTCTCACATTCTAGTCATTCTTTCAATTTGATATGGTATCAGAGCAGTGCGGTGCAGTGCGGTACAGTGCGGTGCAGTGCGGTACAGTGCGGTGCAATGCGGTGCAAGGCGGTGTAGTGACGTCCTGGAGGACCGGCAGTACGAGCTTGCTTTCTTGTCTGAGGCTGCTCCCCATCTCTGTTCCATGCTGCTAGTCCCTGAGGGTGACCCAGACGCTTTCGACATCCCGACCCCTCGCACCTACGCTGAGGCGACCTCTGGACCCTGGGCCTCTCAGTGGATAGCAACCATGCAACAGGAGATGGCATCTTTGAGATCCATCGGCACCTACGTCGACGCAGTTCCCCCACCTGGGGTGAACGTAGTCGATGGTCGGTGGCTCTTCAAGGTGAAGCGCCCCCCTGGAGAGCCGTCTGTGTTCAAGGCACGCTGCGTGGCTAGAGGCTTTAGTCAGCGTAGTGGACTTCTTTCAGACCTTCGCCCCGACCCCGAAGATGACTACTCTTCGGGCGCTGCTACACGTAGCAGCACAGCGTGACTACAAGCTACACTCCCTCGACTTCTCCACTGCGTTTCTCCAGGGCAGCCTACACGAGCAGGTCTACCTGTCCCGCCCTCAGGGCTTCACCGGTACCTTCCCTCCTGGGACCCAGTGGCTACTGCGGCGCCCAGTCTACGGCTTGCAACAAGCGCCCCCTGAGTGGCACGACACACTGCATGCTACCCTTGCTGACCTGTAGTTTTTTCCATCCTCTACAGACCCCTCGCTCTTCGTTCATGCTGGCCAGACCCCATTCTATATCCTTGATTACGGAAACGACCTGGTCTTCGCCACTGCAGACAGGGACGCACTGGCCTCCGTGAAGGAAGAGGTGCTGAAGAGACCTGCACTGACCTGCGCCACTACCTTGGCCTGCAGATCTCCAGGGACAGAGCAGCGTGCACCATCACTCTCACCCAGTCACACTTGGTGCGCCAGGTCCTTCAGAGGTTCGGTCTTCAGTTCTCCTCCGCATAGCCCACACTTTGTCAGTAGATCACAGGCTCTCTGCTCCACTTCCTGAGGAGTCTATAGAGCCCAATGGTCCTTATGCAGAGCTGGTGGGTTGCCTCGTGTACCTGATGACTTGCACTCGTCCAGATCTTGCATACCCTCTTAGCATCCTGTCTCGCTTTGTGGCCACATGCAGACACCGACCATAGCACTGGTCGGCCGCTAAGAGGGTTTTGCGTTATCTAGCACGTACATCGGGCATGGGGTTAGTGCTAGGAGGACGCAGGCCAGTGGTCCTTACTGGGCACACTGACGCTTCTTGGGCAGACGACGCTGAGACCCTTAGGTCCTCGCAGGGCTACTGCTTTAGCCTTGTTTCAGGTGCCGTCTCGTGGAGAGCTACTGGCTCCTTGTCTGTTGCCCAATCCAGTTGTGAGGCCGAGATCTACGCTGGTGCCATGGCGGCACAGGAGCTCCGCTGGCTGACCTTCTTGCTCACAGACTTAGGTGAATGGCCTAGCTCTACCCCGGTCCTCTACGCTGACAACAGGGCCATGATCCTCCTGTGTCAGGAGCCTCGACTTGAGGGCAGAGCGAAGCACATCCAACTGCGGTACTTCCTCCTGCGCGAGCTACAGCAGCGCCGCTAGGCTCGCGTAGTACACTTGGCCTCCGGTGCCAACACAGCTGATATCTTTATGAAGGCGCTTGCGCCTAAAGATCATCAGCGGCACTGTGTACAGCTAGGTCTCGTTCCTGTAGCCTCTCACTTGCTAGGGCCTTGATTATGTACAGATCTTTATATATATTTTACCCTGACTGGCCTTGTGGCCTCTCCCAGTGGCTGGACTGGTAGTGCCGCCCGGGTCTTGCTCTTGCCTTGGTTTGTACTTGTTTGACTGGTCTTTAGACCCCTGCCTTAGAAGTTGGACTAGTAGTGCCACCCTGAACTGCTTGCCTCTCAACAGACATTGACCCTATCTAGTCTAGGGGGTGTGTCAAACACATTTGTGTGTAATGTTGTAGACCATACGGGGTTGTGCCTTAGAGAGTACAGCCCCCTAGGTTATAATGCTTTGTACTCTCACATTCTAGTCATTCTTTCAGTTTGATGGTTTCATAACCGCTTTTCCTTTCCTGAAACTGAACACTACACTGTAGGAATACGCCCTTAGTCACGTCGTGCACAGTAGGGGAGAACCAATCCCCTTGGCTAGCACAAAGTGGAAGAGCAGGGAGTCGGCGGAGGGGAGGAGATGGAAGGCAATCATGTGGCAGCCCTTGGGGCCAATAGTTGAGGGTTAACATACCGTAGAATAACAATACAACATACTGAGCTCAGGGAGCAGCCGGAGGCGAGGTTGGAAAACAGTCACATGGCTTCATTTACGTTGGCAATACCTCTTCCTTAGGAACCTCGCAAGAACCGCATCAAGCAGCCGAGCTACACTCGTCACATCAGCCACAGCAGGGGAGAGCCAACCAACCCCCTTGACTAAACACGAGGTGGTAGGGTAGCGCAAGGAGCAGGCGGAGGCGAGGAGGTGGAAGCTCTCAGGAACACAGCCGCCAAGGGCTTGTTAAGTAGGGGGTCAGCACGCCCATAACCCCCCAGTCATAGCTGCCTATGGCCCTTCCGAGGATCTTCTAGGGCAACCCCAGTGGGTCTCTTGACAGAAGCCAAGTCACGTGGCAGGCAGCCCTTGGGGCAAATAGTTAAGGGTTAATAACATACAATACAATACAACAGACTAAGCGCAGGGAGCAAGGCACAGGTGAGGAGGAGGTTGGAAAGTAGTCAGATGGCAATATCTCTTTCCTTGTCTCTGGCAAAATTGCTCCCCTTGCCTCCCGCATCCTCCTCGTGAAACCTTGCATGAACCGTATCAAGCACCCGAGCCACACTCGTCACATTAGCCACAGCAGGGGAGAACCAGTCCCCTTGACTGAACACGAGGTGGTAGCGCAGGGAGCAGGCGGAGGCGAGGAGGTGGAAGACCGTCACGTGGCAGCCCTCGGGGCGAATCTCGAGGACGGAGGCTTCCTCCGGCATGAAGATCATGTTGGTCAGGGCCGCCCCGTGGCCCGCAATGTAGAGCCGGGTCCGGCGAAAAAGTTCACGAGCTGAGAGGGGGGAGAGGGGGGAGAGGGGGGAGAGGGGGGAGAGGGGGGAGAGGGGGGAGAGGGGGGAGAGGGGGGAGAGGGGGGAGAGGGGGGAGAGGGGGGAGAGGGGGGAGAGGGGGGAGAGGGGGGAGAGGGGGAGAGGGGGGAGAGGGGAGAGGGGGGGGAGAGGGGGGAGAGGGGGGAGAGGGGGGAGAGGGGGGACACACAAGTCAAGGGAGGGGACATGGGAATGAGATGTTTCTTCCCGCATGAAGATCATGTTGGTGAGGGCTGCCCCGTGGCCCGCTCTGTAGAAGCGGGTCCGACGGAAAAGTTCACGAGCTGAGAGAGGGTATCGGGACACACCAGCAAGGAGGGGACCGGAGGGGGAGGTGGGAAAGAAAAGGTTTTCTCTGGCACAAAATCACGAGGGCTGCCCCGTGGCCCACTATGTAGAAACGTGCCACAGGAAGAGTGCATGAGCTGAGAAGAAGGGTCAATAGGAGGGAGGGAGTATGATAATGTAAAGAGAGGTGAGAGACTAGGTTAGGGGCGCGGACATATGCATGGATTGGCAATGTGCGTTCACAATCGGGCCTGTGAACACATGAGAGGGATGTACAGGAGCGCAGCATGGATAGAAATCCCTTTTGAGTCATTCCGACTAGAAGCGGGATATACCTGTGGATAAAAATAACTTTTGAATTGAATCAAAAGACGTCTCGACTACATGAGAAGTATGTACAAACGTACAGCATGGATAGGAACTAGGAGGAAGCATGGCTGAAATTTGAATGCGTCCCTGTGATAAACAGACAAACAAGGACAGAGCCTCAGTGGGACCCACCTTGCAGCACCGGCAGTGACCCATCGTCAACCACCACTCTCTCACGCCCAGACTGAGGTGTGACTTCAGAGTCGACTCAAACGATCCTCAGTGGGACCCACCTTGCAGAATTGGAAGCGACCCATTGTAAACCACCACTCTCTCGCGCCCAAACCGCCGCACCACCTGCTCCTCCACCTCCCGGAAATTCACCAGCGCCCGCCGGCCACCCTCCGGGCGCTTTGCCAGCACCACCACCCAGTCGGGGGGGAAGGCGCGCGCCTCACGGGGAGAGAGAGGGGCGTTTTGGCGGTAGGTCCAGTCAGGGTTGAAGAGAGGGAGGCCGGCGGGGTGCAGCAGATGGCGCCGCCGCAGCAAATGCCAGAGAGGCCGGCTGGGATGGTCGCAGTCCTGGTACAGGGGCTGGGGGGCGGGTGGGGAAGGGGGGGGAGGGGGGTGGGGGTGAATAGTGTGAGGACAGATGGGGAAGGTAGAATATCCAAAGAAACAGACCATGATTTGCATGCCACGTCAGTGTCTCTCAAAGAAGGCCATTCAGAGAGCAAGGCATGTCAAGACATGGCGTTCCATGGCATGGCGTGATATAGTGGGCATGACAAAACATGGCATGGCATGGCACGGCATAACAGGACATTAGCATGGCTCGCATGAAGCGACATGGCAGATGAGTTACCTGGTACACTGCGTCTGCATGGCATGGCGTGTGTTACCTGGTACACCACATTGGCGTGAAAGAGGTCGTTCCCGAATGTGGGCAGCAGGCGGATCTGATCGGGCTGGATGCCGATGAGAGGCGCCCCCAGATGCTCGTACAGAAGCCACTGCGGGGAGAGAAAGGAAGAAAGAAAGGAAAGGTAGATTGAGTTGAGAGTCCGCTGAAAATGCGCGTCCAAAACCTAAAACGCAAAACGCACCCAGTTGCTCGTAGAGAAGCCGCTGCTGGAAGAGGAGCGGGAAAGGAAGGACATGACAGATGCTCTCACCGGATGTCGAAACAGGACGTGGCACATCACGATACTGGGAAAGCGGTGCTGAATTAAGGGGCGCAGATGCAACAGCTGCTAGACTCAAAGCTCACATATTGCTGTTGCACAAGCACAGGCGCGGCGTGGATGGCATGAGAGGCGGGTCGATCGGCCGGACCCCATCCGCACCCGGATCGATCAACCAGACCCATCCGGACACACGACTACTCCCTCAACACACGGCTACTCACTGCAACTCCTCCCGCGCACCTGTTGCTGCCTGGCGAGCACGGGCAGGTGTCGGAGCGTGGACGGCATGAGGGGCGCCGCCACTAGGAAGAGCGGCACGAGCTCCACCATGAAGTGGTAGAAGTTGCCGCCCGGTTGGTGGGCCCAGTTGAACACAGCCGTTGGCAGGTGGTGCACCACGTGCTGCGCCTCGTACTTGGCCTGTGGGGGGAAACGGCGTGGGGGGGAGAGGGAAGGGGGGGGAGGAGGGGGAGAACACCGTAATGCATCGTTATGCCCGGCTGATGAGCCCAGTTGAACACTGCGGGTGGTGCACCATGTGCTGTAGCTCGTACTTGGCCTGGTGGGGGAGGAAGGGCAGAGGGGGGTGGGGAGGAGAGGGGGATGGGGAGGAGAGGGGGACGGGGAGGAGAGGGGGATGGGGAGGAGAGGGGGACGGGGAGGAGAGAGGGAGAGCGGCATCCAGTTGAAGACTCGCCATTGGCACTTGGTGCACCAAGTGTGGTGGCTCGTACTCGGCCTGGGAAAGGAAAAGGAATTACACGTATTGCAGAACGCAGAACTCTCACAACAACCACCCCCTATACCCCTTCCCCGCACCCGTCACCTTTGGCTCGCATCAGTGGCACCTGTTCCGCACGAACACGTGTGTTCGGTTAACCGTGAAGCCCTCAGCCGTCACAAACATGTCCTCAAGCCGCATCATCTGCAGCGCGGACAGATCCTCCCCCTTTTGAGGCGCCTCAAATGTTTTCTCTTCCTCCTCCTCCCTGCCCTCACCTTTCTCCAGAGTCAGCAACATCCGTTCCTCACAAGCACGTGCGTTTGGTTAACCGTAAACGAATCGGTCGTTACAAACACGTTCTCCAGCCGCATCATCTGCAGTGCGGATGGCCCAGCATCAGAACCCCCCCTTCCCCCACACCCCTGCCTCCTTCAAGCCCTCACCTTTCGCCCGAAGTCTATTTTTAAGGCGCCTATAAAATACACACCCCTGCCTCCTTCAGGCCCTCACCTTTCGCCAGAATCTCCGGCACCCGTTCCGCACGAACACGTGTGTTCTGTTGACCGTGAAGCCGTCGGCCGTCACAAACACGTCGTCCAGCCGCATCATCTGCAGCGCGGACGGCCCGTGCGGCGTGAAATCCTCCCGGTGAGAGCACGACTCGTCCAACTCCACCCTCCTCACTCCCCCCACCCACTTGCTGTTGTTCCCCTTAACGGGGCAGTTTATAGGGGGGATGGGTTCGTCCTCTGCTTGGTCCACGAGGTGCTGGTTCCAGCACGCCTGCACGTTGGGGTAGCGGGCGGTGCAGGAGCCGAAGGCGGGGCAGGGAGGGCCGTGGCACCCCAGCTTCACCGCCCAGTCCGACTCGCCTGAGGCACGGTCAAATGAGCTGCCTGCAGTGGCATTTGAGCCGCCTGAGCCACCGGAGGCGTGGTCAACTGAGCTGCCTGAATTGTCATTTGAGTTGCCCGGCTGGTTCGGGTTGCTTGGAAAGTCCGGGGGTCGAGGCGTGCGCAGGGGAAAGTGCTCAAAGAAGCCCATCATTACATTGGGCAGGCGAGCCGTATCGAGAGGAAAGCCCAGCGGACGAGTCACCAGGTTGACTCGCTCTGGGTGGGTCCTGGATTGGGTGTGGAAGAGAGGAGGGATGGGAGGGAGGTTTGGAGGGAGGGGAGGAAGTCAGGTAGAATTGAATAAAAAACAGGAAGATTCGGAAGTGGAAGAAATGTGAAAAAAAAAAGGGAACCAGACCCAGAAGGCATATGATTCCTCCCCACCGCCCCTGGAACCCACCTGAACCGCCGTGGCAAGTAGTAGTTGAGCTGGCCTTCAAACTCGCTCACTCTGCCCACCAGATGGAGCCTCGGGGGTAGCTGGCCGCTGATAGCTGCTGAGAACAATAACGGGGATGGGGGAACGAGGGGAGGGGGAGGAGAGGTCGACCTGAACCGCTGTGGTTGAGCTGGCCTTCGAACTGGCTCACTCTGCCGGCCAGATGGAACCTCGAGGGTTGCTGGCCGCGAGTTGCGCAGTAGCTAGCGCTTGTGGCTCTAGAGCCGGCGGTCCACTAGAAGATCGCAGAATGAGCAGTCAGGGGTCCCAAAACGGGGGTTTCAGGCTAGGGGTCTCAGGTCGGTCTCACGCTAATTAGAAACACCGATCAAGTTGGCGATGAGACGAGATAGAGGCACCACCAACCCTCTTGAGTTACTTGCGGGGATCCTGGCAACGGATCGTCTTAGCGCTTCAAAGCTCTGACCAAAGCCATACAATATACGACGCGGCGTCTGAAATAAAAAATCCCACGAACGAGCTATTAGGGACTAGGGACTAGTGACTGGGGCTGGGGACTGCGACTAGGAATGAGGGGAGGGAGAGTGGGAAAGAGCGCTGCAGCGTCGCGTACTTTTGTCACCATCGTTCGCGGTGGATGCGTCGACGGAAATCGTCAAGACGACGGTGACGGTCAGCCACAACAGCCGGCGACCGACAGCGTCATCGCGTGCCACCGTCATAGTAAAGTCCCGTCGAGGAGAAGCGCAGAAACGGCTATGGATAAAATAGCAGAACCAGTAGCTGGAGGCACGCGGCGGTGGGAGCGAGAGAGCGCGAGGTAGCAGAAGCGAGCAAGAGAGAGAGTGTCAGAGTGATGCTTGCCTCTGAGTCGACTCAGAATCGTAGCGTTGTCTGAGCACGCATCATGCTTTTAAGTCGAATCAAAAGCGTAGGGATGCTTGAACACGCATTCGTGATTGGCGGTGAAACGCCGTTGCTTATCAGCGGCCCATCTGCACCCTCGATTAAAGTCCGCACGCACATCAGAGGTGCTTCAGGCGGCGTATTCGCTTCAGGAGAAGCTTCAGGAGGTCCTTCAGGGGGGTCAACAAGAGCCGCTAGAGCCACTAGAGCCGCCTGTGGAATCTCAAGACTCCTGAGGAATGCGCCTCGCCAGGGTGGTTGCACGGCCTGCGGAGTCGCGCTGCTCCAGGCGGTCGCGCAACTTGCGCGTTTAACGCCATGAGGGGACAGCGGAGAGAGAGGTGCGAACAGGGATGTCGCGCGAACGGTAGTGCTCTACTGTACTGTACTGTACGAGTCTCGCGAATGGCGAGCCAGCCGCCGCCGTGACGGCGGGGGGGTAGACCCTCTCACATCACAGCTCTCGAATGGCAGGAAACGAGAGGGGAAGAGACGGGGTTGACACGAGATGAGGAGAGGTGAGTAACGGTTCACTGCAAAAAAGATGCTTTCTCCTCATTTCCCGCAGCTCGACTGAAGGACGAATGGCTGTGGAACGCCTTGCGCTTCTGTTGCGTGTCTGCCATTGCTGTGTCGGTGGGATGGTGGCAGCGAGGCACACTCGGATCCATCGCAACTGCAGCCACAGGGAAGAGAAAATCGAGGAGGGGTGGGCGGAGGGGAGGGGAACCCTTGGGATTGCCCAGAGTCGACAACCGACCAAGCATTGGGATTGTCGAACAGCACCGCCTTGCTTGCAATTATCAAGAACATTACGCCCCATTCCTTTGCGGGTTCCCCACGGTCTAAAGCGGTGACACAGCAAAACTGGTTCCAACGTCATGCACATTATTCAAGTGAACGTATGATCGATTTGCTCTTTGGGTACACCCCGTACTCGAACGGCTACAAGTTTTCCAGGTGTAGTAACTCAAGTAACTTGCTTGCTTGGTTCACGTGAATCCCGTTATGGTACAAAACATGGTAAGAATTCTGCCAAGCCCCAATTCAGAGCCGAGACGCTGAAATTCTTGCAAGGCCTGTTGAGGGATGCTAGCCAGCCCATGTTTTGTAGTGGAAACCACCCCGGTTCTTGTTCAGTCCAGCAGAACTTACCAGGCCAGCTCACCTCAGCTATTGGCTCTTACACCCACATAAACTCCCTTTCACTGCCATGAATTTCTGGCCCTTGTGCACCCTGCCACTTGCTCCTCTCATGCAGGTCACTTCAACCCTTCCCACCATCCCACCTGACTTCATCACGCCTCTCCCCCCCTACTACCCTTCCTCCTCGCAACTGAACTTAGGCCAGCTCGCCTCAGCACTCGGCACATACCCCCCTGGACCACCCACACCCCACCCTCCTCCCCCCGGAGTGCACACCAGCAGCGTATCCCCCCCTTCCACCCCCACACTCGCCTTCCCCCCCAGATTCACCACCCTCCCATCCCTCGCAATCCGCAGCAAATTCAGCCCCCTCGCCCCATGCCCACCCCCCATGGCCCCATTCGGTGCCAACACCCTCCGCTCAGACAGCATGCTGACAGTCGCGGGCCGCAAGAACTGGACCTCCCGCTCCACCCCATGCCCTCCTCTCCTCTCCCCGCCCCCCCCACTCCCCTGACGCAGCCGGAACCTTCTCAGAAGCACCGGGTAGCGCCGCTCAAGCACCTCGGGGTCGGTGATCCGGGTGTTGGTCATGTGGCTCTGCACCCCGTCCTCCCCCTGCCAGGTCGGCCCGGCCCCCACCCCCCCGGCAATCGTCTCATAGTACCCGAAAGTGCCGTCGCCAAAGGTAAGGTTGTTCATGCACCCCTGGGAATTCGCCGCCGCAGCAAAAGTTGCCAGAATAATATCCGTCACCCGCTGCGAAGTCAGCACATTGCCGCCCACCACAGCAGCAGTGTCACTCGGCGACAGCAGCGAATGCAGCGGGAGGGTGATTCTTATGGGCGCAAGACACCCCTGGTTGAGGGGGATATCCGAGTCCACGAGGCAGCGCAGGCAATAGATGATGGCAGCAGTGGTGACGGCGGTGGGCGCGTTCCAGTTGCCGTAGACCTCGGGACTCGTGCCGGAGAAGTCAAAGTGCGCTGAGCCGGAGGACGGGTGGATGGCAATGCGCAGGCGGATCAAGGAGCCGTCGTCCATGCGATCCTCCCCCTGCAGCACCGCCACTTGGTCCTCACTTGCTCCACCCATAGGTACTCCCACTTGCTCCCCATTCTCTGCATCAGCACCCTCTTTCTGCCCTTCACCCAGTGTGTCATCTTCCTGGGAAGCCTGCTTCTGGCTCTCCAGGTGCTTCAGGGCGGTGCGGGTGAGCATGCGGCGCACCACCTGCTCCGCATTCACCTGCACGTACCCCATATAAGCTTGCACCGTTTCCAGCCCGCACTCCTCCACCAGCTCGCCAATCAGCTCGATGCCCCGCCGGTTCGCTGCCACTTGTGCGCGCAGGTCAGATAGGTTGTCCTCTATGCGGCGCGTGCCTGGCACACGCCTCACAAATTTCCCACCCTCTCCTGCTGCGTCTCCATCTCCACCCCCCTCCCCGCCTCCGCCTCCTCCACCGGCCATCACCCCTTCCAACACCTGCCCTTTCAGCAGCACCTCTCGGATCGCTTCCTCCTGAAACACGCCCCCCTTCACCAGCTTCATCGTGCGGATCGCCGCCCCTTCCTCCCAAATGCTCCTCGAAAACGGCGGCATGCTCCCGGGGGTGCTCCCCCCGATCTCCGAATGGTGCCCCCGGCTTGCCACGAAGAAAATCACCCTCCCCTCGCGAAACACCGGCGTCACCACCGTAATATCCGGCAGGTGACTCCCCCCGGCGCACGGATGATTCGTTACAAGCACATCCCCTTCATTCAACCCCCCTTCCCGCACCCCCTCCCCTCTCACCCAGTACCCCAGCTGCCAGCGCACCGTATCCGACATGGCACCCAGGTGCACGGGCACATGGGGCGCGTTGGCCACGAGGCCCCCGTCGGGGGAGAAGAGGGCGCAGGAGAAGTCGAGGCGTTCCTTGATGTTGGTGGAGATGGCCGTGCGCTGGAGGGTGCGCCCCATCTGCTCTGCGATGCCCATGAAGCGGTTGCCGAAGATGGACAGCCGCACCACGTCCCAGGGGACTGAGGGAGATGCAGGGGGGACTGAGGGGGGTGCAGGGGGGACTGCGGGGGATGCAGGGGGGTCTGGCAGTGGCTGGGAGGGGGCTGTAGTTGTTGACGCTGCTGCTGACGCTGCTGCGGACGCTGCACCTAGTGATGTTGGCTCAGCATTTGCAGCTACTGCCTCTGCACCAGTCGGATGCGCAGTGGGCGGCACAGCAATGACAATGTTGCCATACTTGGTGATCCCTGCCCTGCACCCGGGCTCCACCACAACCGTGCTATTCCCATTCAGAATCACAGCTGGCCCGGCCACCACGTGCCCCCACCGCAATTTCTCTAGCCGATACACCGTTGTCTGCTGCCACCCCCCCTCGAAGTACACCCGGTGCTGCACTGCTTCCGCCTCTGCTGCCCCTGCTGCCACCACTCCTGCCACCACCCCTGCCACCACGCCTGCTCCCCCTTTACCGCCCTGCGCCCTGGGTATATCCGTCTGCTGCAGCACGCCAGACGGCGCCACCCCTTTCACGCGGATATCGTCCACCAGCACGCGCCGGGCGCCCTGCAGGTCGAACCCAAACTCGCGCTCGAAGCGGCGCTTGAACGCACCGAGGAAGTCAAACGACGCTGCTGGGTGGCCGCCCGGGAGACCGGCTGATGGCAGGGCGTCTGAGCTGGGAGTTTGTGAGGGCGGTGCCTCTACCATGAGCGCTGTATCGGTGCCGTCGTATCTCAGGTTCAGCAGCATCTGGGTCCACACCCCCGCCGCACCCCCTTCCGTCTCTCCCCCTCCTCCCCCTTCCCCCTCCCCTCCTTGTTTCCCTCCCCCCCCCTTCCCCCCGCCACAAAGCGCCTCCCTCACTTGCACCTCCATCCTCCATGCCCGCTCCAGCACACGTGGCATGCTCTCCCCGTCGCACACCTCAGCAGCGGGCTCCTGCACCTCCACCACCCGATCAGCCAGCCCCATGCCATACGCACTTAATATCCCGCACAGCCGGTGCACAAACACTGTGGAGATCCCGAGGGACCGGGCTATCGCGCACGCGTGCTGCGGCCCCGCGCCGCCGAAGCACGCGAGGACGTGAGTGCTGGTCTCGTGGCCCCGGGCTTCGGTGAGCTCCCTGATTGGCCGGCACATGGCCTCGTTGGCCACGCGGATGAACCCCATTGCCACCTCCTCCACCGACATTCCCCCCTGCTTTCCCGCACCCTCCCTCTCCCTCTCCCCCTTCTCCCCATCTCCCCGTTCTCCCCCCTCGCTCCCCCCCATCCCTCGGTTCACCTCTTCTGCCAGCTCAGCCATGGCTTCCCTCGCCGCCTGGTCGTCCAATGGGAGGTCCTCGTTCGGCCCGAAAATGGCGGGAAAATATCCGGGCAGCACGCGGCCCAATAGCAGGTTGGCATCTGTCACCGCCAGCTGCCCGCCTTTCCTGTAGCAGACCGGCCCGGGGTGGGCTCCCACTGATGCGGGCCCCACGCGCAGCATGCCCGACTCGAAGAAAAGACGAGAGCCGCCGCCCGCTGCTACAGTGTTGATGTCGAGCTGGGGGGCCTGGATGGTGATTCCGGCGGTGGTGGTTTCTAGAACCTGCTCGTACGCCCCCCCTGCGTATCGCGACACGTCAGTGGATGTGCCGCCCATGTCAAAGCCAATCACAGGACGACACCTCAGCGTTCCCGCTGCGGCTGTACCAGCATCAGCAGGATCGTCCTTTTCCTTGTCCTTATCATTGCGGTTGCTTCCGTTGCTGCTGCTGCTGACGTCAGATATGAGACCTTCCAGACCTTCCATCTCCCGAACCTCGAACTCGAATGTGGTTCGGGCAAACCCAACCACGCCCCCCGCCGGACCTGACAGGATGGCTTGGTAACCCGTGAAGGCTTGGGCTGGAGTCAACCCCCCATCGGACCGCATAAACGACACTGCCACGTCAGCAAGTCCCGAGTCAAACCCCGCTAGGAACTTCCCCACGTAGGTGCGTATAGCGGGGGTTAGATACGCGTCCACGCAGGCGGTATGTCCACGTGGCACGATCCTGACCATTGGAACGAGCTCGCTCGAGGCAGAGACTTGATTAAAGCCCATATCCCGCGCTAAAGCCGCAACGGCGCGTTCATGATCCGGGAATGTGTACGAGTGGAGGAAAGCGATGGCCAATGACTTAATGCCACGTGCCAACACTTTCTCCAGCGCGGCTCGAGTCTTCTCAATGTTAAGCGGCACTAGGACGCGCACTAATTCCCCCGAGACTCCCCGTACCGTGCGCTTCCCCGCCTCATCCCCATCCGCTTGGCCCTCCTCCCCTTTCCCCCCGGCCTCCGCCTTTCCCCCACCTTCCCCCTCCTCCCCTCCGTCCCCGTTCCCCCTGCCTTCCCCCTGCGCCTCTTTCCCCGGCAGCACCTGCGCGCGCTCCTCCACCTCCACCACCTCCTCATAGAGCAGCGAGGCGCGCCGAGCCGTCAGATCGAAGATACGCGGCCGCGCCTGGTTGCCGATCCGCAGCAGATCCGGAAAGCCACGTGTCACGCAGAGAGCCATCCGTTCGCCCGCGCGCTCCAGCAGCGCGTTTGTCGCCACGGTGGTCCCCATGCGGATCCAATCGATACGCTCCGTAGGAAGCGGGGTGTTTCGCGGAATCTTCTCGCCAGTGACCTCTTCGAGGATCCGGCGAATGCCTTCCCGAGGCGCGTCATCGTAGTTAAGAGGGTCCTCGGAGAGGAGTTTAACTACGCGGAAGGGCGGCTCGCCGGGAACCTCGGCGTAAATGTCGGTGAATGTGCCTCCGCGATCAATGCAGAAGCGAAAATCGCGGCGAGATCGGGATGCGGATGCTGACGCGGACATTGGGAGGGACGAAGGGGCCCCGGATAAAAAGCAAGGTGGACGACTACGATCGCGTGTTTTTAATCGTGAACATGGGAATCGCTGACAGAGCTGACTAATTCAGTGATCAGGAGTGTACCTAGAACAGATTGCGGAGAACGATGAGAAGGGAATGCACTTTGGGATGCATGAATTCGAGACTTGTTCGAAGGGAGGGAACAGACAGACAGCTAGGGCTTATTCTGTCATGCGAGTACAACCCCAATTCCCGAACGCATGACGACACAGATGAATATCACTTGATGATTGCGATGAATTTCGTTCGACGCTGTGTGCCTTTCACAGCGTCACACTGCGGAGGTCGGCTCAGAATCGGCGAAGAAGGACGGACACTGTACTGGTCGTGTAAAGTTCGACGAGTTCGGATGCCCAGATAGGCATTTCATGACGTCATGGACGCGGAAAGTTCTAATTACTACAGGTCAGCCTCGACTAGTGCAACGACCCCTAAGGCAAAGAGGAACTCCCAAGCATGCAGCCTGTACGATGTTCCACCAATCGTATAAGCGTATACAATAAACATCTAAACCAAAGGCACACATAAATATGGTGAAGACCACATCTCATTTGTCCACGATCTCCACGAACCACTCATCCCCCCTTCCCCAACCATTGATGCAAAACTGATCCACATATTGATGCTGACTAACCCAGGAACCAATCGCAGGAAGACAGCTGATTCCATCTGTTGTTTTTGTTGTGATAAAATCGTACATAAGCATTTATGTAAGTAGTTCCGATAGATATTGTCGAGTTACACTGTAGTTAGCATCCGTAGAATGACGTCAGCAAATAGTGCTCGTCTTGATGATAACGTTAGCAGGTCGTTTCAGTCACGCGAACGGTCACGCTCTTTTCAGTAGCGGTTAGAGCGCATCGCATAGCGCAAATAGTTTTGAACAGGTACATTACCGAATGGGTACTTCTAACAGATATAAAAATAGTTTGTACAACTTCAGTTATTAACTTGTTCCAGAGTAAATTCTGGTCAACACTTACAAGTTCTAAGACTTCCGCTATCTTACTAGTCTACCATTCCAACAAAGATCCTTGTTTAAGTCTTGAAGTATCACAAAGCTGTAACACTGACTCTGGTATTACTGTCAAACATGTGTATTTGTCATGTTTGTATAGACTGTATAGAGTCACCTCTTAGAGGTTACAAAACTTAGATATATTTGTGTGTACTCTCACTTTACTTTCATTCAATTATGCTGATATGGTATCACGCGTAGGTAGGATCCCCCCCCCCCCCCCACCCACCGCTTCCGCTCATGCCCCCTAGCGCCCCACCTGGGCCCCGTCGCGCTCCTCCCAGGCCCCGTCGCGCTCCTCCCAGGCCCCGTAGCGCCCCTCCTGGGCCTCGTCGCGCCCCTCCTGGGCTTCGTAGCGCCCCTGCCAGGCCCCGTCGCGCCCCTCCTGGGCTTCGTAGCGCCCCTGCCAGGCCCCGTCGCGCCCCTCCCAGGCCCCGTCGCGCTCCTCCCAGGCCCACTAGCGCCCCTCCTGGGCCCCGTCGCGCTCCTCCCAGGTCCCGTAGCGCCCCGTCGCGCCCCTCCTGGGCCCCCGTAGCGCCCCTCCTGGGCCTCGTCGCGCCCCTCCTGGGCCTCGTAGCGCCCCTCCTGGGCCCTGTACCGCCCTCCCAGGCCTCGTCGCGCCCCTCCCAGGCCCAGTCGCGCCCCTCCCAGGCCCTCTAGCGCCCCCCCTGGACCCCGTCGCGCTCCTCCCAGGCCCCGTAGCGCCCTGTCGCGCCCCTCCTGGGCCTCGTAGCGCCCCTCCTGGGCCTCGTCGCGCCCCTCCTGGGCTTCGTAGCGCCCCTCCTGGGCCCTGTAACGCCCTCCCAGGCCCCGTCGCGCCCCTCCCAGGCCCCCTAGCGCCCCTCCTGGGCCCCGTCGCGCTCCTCCCAGGCCTCGTAGCGCCCCTCCTGGGCTCTGTCGCGCCCCTCCTGGGCCCCGTCGCGCTCCTTCCAGGCCCCGTAACGCCCCTCCTGGGCTTTGTCGCGCCCCTCCTGGGCTCCGTAGCGCCCCTCCTGGGCCCCGTCGCGCCCCTCCTGGGCCCCGTAGCGCCCCTCCTGGGCCCCGTCGCGCCCTCCTTGGGCCCTGTAGCGCCCCTCCTGGGCCCGTCGCGCCCCTCCCAGGCCCCGTCGCGCCCCTCCCAGGCCCCCGTAGCGCCCCTCCTGGGCCGCGTCGTACCCGTCGCGGCCGCCCGGCCCCGTCGTGCCCGCCCGGCGCCGTCGCGCCCGCCCGACCCCGTCGCCGCCGCCCGGCCCCGTCGCGCCCGCCCGGCGCCGTCGCCGCCGCCCGGCCCCGTCGCGCCCGCCCGGCGCCGTCGCACCCTGCCCGGCCCCGTCACGCCGCCCGGCCCCGTCGCACCCGCCCGGCCCCGTCGCACCCTGCCCGGCCCCGTCGCAGCCGCCCGGCCCCGTCGCACCAGCCCGGCCGCCGTCCCGCTCGCCCGGCCCCGTCGCACCAGCCCGGCCCTGCCGCACTCGCCCGGCCCCGTCGCCCCAGCCCGGCCCCGTCGCGCCCGCTCGGCCCCGTCGCCCCGTCCCGGCCCTGTCGCACCAGCCCGGCCCCGTCGCGCCCGCCCGGCCCCGTCGGGCCAGCCCCGGCCCCGTCCTCCTCACTGGTACGGTTCCCCCCCCCCCCCCCCCCACCCCGCCCTGCTCCGTGCCGCCCTGCACCGCACTGCACCGCACTGTACCGCACAGTACCGCACTGCACCGCACTGCACCGCACTGTATCGCACAGTACCGCACTGCACCGCACTGCACCGCACTGTATCGCACTGCACCGCACCCCACCTAGCTGCACCGCCCTGCACAGCACTGGACTGTTCCTGATGGCAGCGGAGCTTCGCTTCGACGCTGAAGGTCAGCCCCTAGAGTTCGAGGCGTGGCTTGCCGACCTCCGCCGCCAACTCACTGGCCAGCGGCAGGATGGTGAACCGCTTTCCGCACACCTTGACGGTACGCTCCCCTGCCCTGACCCTCCTGCTATTCTGCCCGCTGACCCCACACCCACTGAGCGTGAGTCTACTGCTGCCACTGCCCGTGCGCGCTCTGTCTGGCTTTCTCGCGATGCTGTCGCCCAGCTTGCCATTAGCAACGCCCTCCCCCCGTCCGAGCGTCCTCGCTTTAGGTCCCTCACTACTGCTCAGGCATACTTAGATGCTGTCATCAAGCGCTATTCCACCCCTCCGGCTGCCTCGGTGGGTCGCCTGATCCTCCCGCTGCTCTTTCCTGACCTTGCTTCGTTCCCCACTGTCTCTGACCTCGCTGCCCACCTGCGCTCGATAGAGGAGACCTGGCGCGCCGCCTGCACTGACGCACAGCTTAGAGCCCACCAGCCGCCCATTACCTCAACCCTCTACCTGCTTGCCACCCGCCTCCCTGACCGCCTTGCAGTCGCCCGCGACCGCTTCCTTAGTGTTCACCCCGCAGACCTCACCCTCACTGACTTTGTCGACACCCTGACTGTGATAGAGACCCGTCACCGCTCCATCGCCCAGGCGAGCGGTGTCGTGCCGGTCCCTATCTTTCAGGGTTGTGCCCCCGCTCAGTGTACCTTCTCCGACGGCTCTGCCGCAGTGGCTGAGACTGCTGCTGCAGCGCAGGCCCGTTCTGGGAAGGGCCGCCGCCCCAAGGCTGGGCGCGGCGGAGGGGGCGGCGGGGGTGCGGGCGGGGGTAGTGGTGGGGTCGGGTCGCCTGGTGCTGGAGCGGACGAGGGGACCCTGCCCAGTCCAGCTGAGTCGCCGCCCCTGCAGTTGCAGCAGCCGCAGCAGCCGCCGCAGTCGCAGCCTTCGCAGCAGCTGCAGCAGCCGTCGCAGACGCGGCAGACGAGTGTTCTCCCGCCAGGGTGGCCCGGCGCTGGCGGTGGACGGGCGCGTGGTGGTGTGCCGCGTGGTGGCTCTGCCGGCGGGCGTTGTCAGTACCAGATCCAGACCGGTCCTCGCCGCGGCTTCTTCTGCGGTAAGATCGGTCACTCCACTCCCCGCTGCTTTCGTCGCCTGGACGACCTCTTTCGTCAGCGTTTCGGCCCGTCGCCAGACCTCCCGGACTGGCACAGTTTGCTTAGTCGTCAGATTCAGATCTTTGATATGGACATGGATGCCATTGTTTCTGCTCTGCATGTGATGTATGCTGATGACTCTAGTGTGCTTCCGACTTATTACTCACTGTTGCCTAGTGTAGGTGTGCCTAGCTTCGCCTCCCCTGCTGCGTCAGGCGTAGGATCCCCTGCTTTGTGTAGTCTTGGTGCTTCTGCCGTCGTTCCGTCGCCAGACCCCTCGGCTTCGCTTTCCTTCACCTTGGACTCTGGCGCCTCTCGGTGTTTCTTCCGCGACTCCACCACCCTGACGCCGCTTCCTGTTCCTGCTGCCGTTTCTCTTGCTGACCCCTCCGGCGGTCCGGTAGTCGCCCGCAGTTCCACCACCCTTCCCTGTCCGGCGGTTCCTTCGGGCTCACTTACAGGTCTGCATATCCCCTCGTTCTCCAGGAACCTAGTTGGTGTCGGCTGCCTCCAGGACCTTGGCGTCACCACTACGTTCCCTGGTCACGAGCGGTATGCTGTCTGTACCGAGGCCGCCACTGGTGCCCCCCTGTCCACGTTCCCCCGGGACCCGGTGTCCGGCCTGTTCACTCTGGACACCGTGCCCCCCCCGGCTGGAGCGCCCCCTCAGGTGGCTGTGTCTCCCCAGGTTGCTGCTGCCTGCTCCTGTCGCTCCCTCACTCACCCGACCCTCCTGTGGCACCACCGCCTAGGTCACCTTGCGCTCCCGCGTCTGCGTCACATGTCCCAGCACGGTCTTGTCCTTGGTCTCCCATGTTCACTCCCCGCGTTTCCCTCCTCCCCAGCTCCACCTTGCACGCCTTGTGTCGAGGGTCGGCTTCGCCGTGCCCCTCACTCCTCCTCGTTCCCCCCTACCGCCGCGCCGCTGCAGACCCTGCACCTGGACGTCTGGGGCCCCGCCCCCGTCCCTGGGCCGCGTCGCGAGCGCTACTTCCTTGTGCTTGTCGACGACTTCACTCGTTACACCACAGTCTTTCCCCTGGAGCGCAAGGCCGACGTGCCTGGCGCCCTCATCCCCTGGCTTGTCTCTGCGCGT